CCCCCCCTTGGGTGTTGCCCCTTCTTGGCGCCCCACGCCCGGCAACTCCCGCAAAGCGCCCTAACTCCGCCTGCCCCATGCGTCGGGGGCTCTTTCCTCCTGGATACAGGACCCCGCGGCCGGGCAAACCCCCGGCCCCAGTGACGCCTCGCAGCCGACGCCGGCCGGCACCGGAGACATGGACGACTCGATCGCCCAGTCGGTCATCTGGGGGACGACCATCCACCTGCGTGATGCCTGGAGTGCCTTCCACACCTTCCTTCGGGACTTCACGGCCCCGGCCCCCGGCATGCCGGACCATGACCCGACGGATTTGGAGGGCGCCGCCTGGCCGGATCCCTACTACTCCAAGCTCCTGGACCAGGTGGTGAATCGAGGCCTGTCGGCCTCGGCCTCGACAGGCCCGGTGTCGGTTCTGTCGCTGAATTGCGCCCATCTGCGGCAATTTTCGGACGCCTCGCGCACTCTCTACCGCCAGTTGCTCACCTACCCCCGGGAAGTGGTGTCCCTGATGGACGCCGTGGCATTGGAGTGCGTGAGCCAGCTGTGCTCGGCTCGCTTCGGCCGGGCCATCGGCCCGGACCACGAGTCCCTGCCTCGGGTCCAGGTCCGGCCCTTCAACCTGGAGAACCGGTGTGACTTGCGCGCTCTCAATCCCCGGGATATCGACAAGTTGGTGTCCATCCGCGGCCTGGTCATTCGCACCGGGTCGGTCATTCCCGACCTGAAGACCGCCTTCTTCCGGTGCACGGTGTGCCACTTCTCGTCGCGCGTGGCCGCCGAGTCGGGCGGCCGCATCACCGAGCCGACCCGGTGCCCGCGCTGCTACAGCTCCCAGACCATGGAGCTGGTGTACAACCGCTGTGAGTATGCCGACAAGCAGCTGGTTCGAATTCAGGAAACCCCAGGTGCGCCTTCGTGCTTCGTGTGCCTCCCTGTGTGTGGCTTGGGGTTTGTGCTTCTTGTGCCCCGGTTGTCGGCTTCTGCCGCGGGGATAGGTCTCGCCATCTGGGCCCTCTCTCACCTCCTTCTCGGCTCTCCTGCCTCCAGATGAGATCCCCCACGGCCAGACACCTCACACGGTGTCGCTGGTGGCCTTCGACGACAATGTTGACGTCCCGCGTCCTGGTGACCGGTGCGACACCTGGAATCCGCCCCCGCTCGCAGAGACTTGGCTCGCCGGCTGACATGCTTTTTCTTCCCCCTCCGCGCTTTGGGTCCTTCCTGCCACCTGCCACCTCAAGTGTCGAGGTGACCGGCATCTATCGTGCGGCGCCCATCCGTCTGTCTCCACGCGAGCGGGTGTACCGCTCCGTGTACCGGACATATGTAGATGTCCTGCACTACCGCCTGGTGGATCGCCAGAGCTCCACCTTCACCACGTCCTCAGCAGACAGGTGCGCCACCGCAGCCATGCTGTCGTTTCTCCGTCTGTATCCCCCTCTTTCTCCGCCTCTCCCTTGCCTTCTTCTGCTGTGTTTCTCTTGCTGGCCTAGGACTCCGCCGTTATGCTGACCTTCCCTCTCCCCCCCCCCCCGTGCTCCCCCCCCGCCCCCCCCGGGGTTTCTGTCCTGCAGCAAGGGCCAGGACCCCCAGAACGAGCGGCCGCCGGTCTTCATCCCGGAGGCCATCAAGCCGCGGCTGGTGTCTATCGGTGCCCGGCCGGACGTGCTCGACGTCCTGACCCGATCCCTGGCCCCCTCGGTTCATGGCCATGAGGATGTCAAACGCGGCCTCCTCTGCCAGCTGGTCGGCGGCACACACAAGACATTCACTCGAGTGGGTGGTGGCCGATTCCGGTGTGTTTTTTTCCCTCCCCCTCCCCATACACACACACACACGCACCATCTTCCGGCCCCCCAGCCTCTCACGCTCACGCGGCGCCCGGTTCCTAACCTCCGGCCGTGCTGTCTTCGCAACCCAGTGGCGACATCAACATCCTGATGTGCGGTGACCCCGGTACATCGAAGTCCCAACTCCTGCGCTATGTCCACCAGATCGCCCCGCGCGGCATCTACACCTCTGGTCGGGGGTCCTCGGCCGTCGGTCTGACGGCCTACGTCACCCGTGACCCGGAGACTGGCCTCTTTGTCTTGGAGAGGTTCGTGCCCACCTTTTGGTCCCCCCCCCCCACCCCCGCCCTTTACCGGCAGCCACAGCAATCTCACCGGCATCTTCTTCTGTTCTGTCTCTTTTTTTTTTCGTCCCCTGGCGGGCCTCTGAATCAGTGGTGCGCTGGTCCTCTCGGATGGCGGCATCTGTTGCATCGATGAGTTCGACAAAATGTCCGAGTCCGCACGCTCAGTCCTCCATGAGGTGATGGAGCAGCAGACGGTGTCTATCGCCAAGGCCGGCATCATCTGCCAGCTGAATGCCCGGACGTCGCTCCTGGCTGCTGCCAATCCGGTGAAGTCCCGCTACGATCCGTCCCTGTCGATTGTCCAAAACATCCAGCTCCCTCCGTCGCTCACTTCACGGTACGTGCTGCATGTCCGCCCCCCCCCCCCCCTCCCTTCCAGGGCTCTGGTGGCGGGGCGGCCACGCATGGTCCCCTCTTGCGCCTCGGGCCTGTGCTTGCACATGTGTCACTCACCATCGCGGGTGTGTCGCACGGCTGTGCGCATATGCCTTCCCCCTCTGCCTCCCTGCATTTGCCTTGGTCTGCTCGTCCCCCCCTCTCCCCGTGCCTTCGGGTGTAGCTTCGATCTGATTTACATCATCCTGGACTATCCGGATGCGCGCAGTGATCGGCGCCTGGCTGAGCACATTATTGGCCTCTACCAGCCACAAGGACAGCCCCGGGCCACCACCTCGGCCGAGGATATCCAGGCGCCGGATCTGACCCTTGATGCGATGACTCTGTCGTCGTACATTGCCTATGCCCGGCAGCACATCCATCCGGTCATCTCGGATGATGCTGGGCAGGATTTGATCGCCGGCTATGTCGGTGCGTGTGGCCTGCTGCCGTGTCCCTCCCTTTTCCTTTCTTGCGAGGAGCGCGCGAGGAGACCCCCCTTGTTCGAGCAAGCGAGAGGGGGGGGGGGGGGAGACATGCATTTGTCCTTTGTGTGCCTCTGCTGACCTCCTCCCGCTCATCCTCCGGGCCCCCAGAACTTCGTGCCATGGGTGGCAAGAACGTCTTCACTGCCTCGCCCCGGGCTTTGGAGTCGCTGATTCGTCTGTCCGAGGCGCATGCCAAGCTCCGCCTCGGGGACACCGTCACGCCGAATGATGTGGCCGCGGCCCTGAAGCTGCACAAGGCGGCCCTGCGCACATACGCCCTGGACCCGGCCACCGGGCGCTTGGATCTGGACCTGGCATACACCGGCCGGTCGGCGGCCTCGCGCGAGGCCGTTCCCCGCATCGTGCGCGGGCTCCTGTCCTACGTGCAAAACTGCTCGCAAGAGGGAGCTCGGGCCTCTTCCGGCCAGGCTCTCCCGGCTGTTGGCCAGGCGTGGCCCTTCGCCCTGCTCTTCCGCGAGTTCCGCTCTTTCTACAACCAGCGGGTACGTGCTCGCTTTTGGCTGGCGAATCCGCTTGCCAGCTTTCTTTGCCCCCATGTGCCTCGATGGGTGCCTAACAGCTGGTGTTTCCTGCTTCTCTGTCTCTCCCCCCCCCCTCCCCCTTCCTCCCTTTCCCTTTCTCTTTCTCTCTCCCCTCCTTTCAGGAGCTCACCCTGGACACCTTCCGCGAGGCGCTTCTCGAGTTGGCAGAGCAGGGTGCTGCCATCGTGCCTCCGGGCTACAGCAGCATCACCTTCACTTGATTGCCGCCACCCGCGAACGCATGTGTCTCAATCCACATCCATCTGTGTGTGTGTGTGTGTGTGTCTATGCATATGTATTCCTCCTGTCCTTGTGTTCTCCTCCTCTCCTCCCCCTGCCTTTTGCCTCCCCTCGTGCTAGAGGGCTGGCAGGCGGCGGGAGGAAGTGCGCATGCATGCGGAGGCCCCCTCCAGTTTTTAAGCTGGCTTTGTGTTAGAATAATAATTCCTCCTCCCTTTCCCTTTTCAAGTTCCTCCACCTTTGCTGCATGTCCCATGCTTTCTTTTTCACCGGCAACCGGCTTGTGCAGCAGACCCTCCGAGGACTGGCTCTTTTGATTCCTGAAAGCCGAGCGTAAATCCAGGGAGATGTACACACCTGTATGTATGTATGTATGTATGTGTGTATTTATGTTTGCAGGTATGTGTCTGTGTCTG